CTGGGCCAATGAAAAACAAAACTATTCAAGACAGAGGTATGACAAGTTAATTTATTAAGTGCTTTTGTGGTGTATTTATAATAATTTATCTTCCTAATTGTTTTATCTTGACTATTACGTTATTTGTTGAAGTTCATGGTCACATTCACTGGTTGAATGAAGCAATGAAAGTTTCTTCTGAAGAGTTGTTCTTGAACACCAATTCAGTGTCATAGTTAGATATGTTTGACAATTTAACAGTCCTTTTGATGTTACTTTAAAAAAGTACATATTTTTAGCATTTTGTTTTTGCATTGCAACATCTTCAGTTCAATTTGCATTTTTTGTAGATATTTCTTAACCACTTACCGATTTTGCCTGGTGTCATATATGTGAAAAGTACACACATGTCACACACAACTACCAGGCAAAATTCACTAATGTTGAAGTCACAGCTAAATGTGCCGGTAAAACAGCATTCGAGCTTGTGGCCGTCAAAGCTCCCCTGCGCCATACGTACAATAACCAATGTGGTTTGGTACTCAGACATAAGGGTATTTTACAGTTTGTGTACACATTTTCCTTTGTGTGGAAAGGTGTCCTGCTAAATGTACAGCATGCTTTTATGCATGTGAGTTTGTACATGTTCGTAACAATGGAAAAAATCATTGTACACCACATAGCTGTTTACTATTTACCATTTTTTATAAGCTTTTGTGAAGAGGAAAAAACGAATCCAAGGTAACTTTGCTGACTACTATTCTTGGCCACAAAAAATGGACACTTTTATTTCAAGTAAAAAGTACCTGTCCATCTGGCAATTTGTCCTTAATTTTTACTTGCCTGAAAGAAGAAATTACTTGTCCCGGGCAATCATACAACTGTTAATGTCGAGGCCTGGCTTACCAGTGTATTAAGATAAAAATGTTTAAATGTAGAACTCTCTTTGATGTTTCTTTTTCTTAAACAAGAAAGAAAAAAAATATGAAATTATTCCTTTGACCTCAACAGTATGAAAAGAGACAAATTTTAAGACTAAAGAAACAGCACGTAACATCAAAATGAGCAGTATTACACCAAGTACAGACAAAATGGCTGTACTTAGTGTCGGCACTAAGTACTCTCACACACAAATCTCAGTGCACAAATCATATCAAGTAAAGACAGTTTAATTGGCAGGTGATCAAAGGCTTATACAACAATTTGTTTTTAATCCAATTTTTGGATTTACAAACTTCCCTGAATTGTACATTTGGTCAGTCTTAATAAAACAAGTTGTACAACTCCACTGCAGAACAAGCTGTAGGGCATACATCACACCATGCATTGTGACTCCATACCATATCATCAGTGAAATGCATTCAAAGAAAAGACAATAGAATTTATTTCATTTATTATCATTATATATTTTATTCATTTATTTTTTTAACTTGCTTGTAAAAATTGAAGGGTCATGCCAAAAAAGGTCAGTTTAGAAATTGGAAGCAGAATTAAATGTTTTGGGCCAATTGTGTATATGTACATGTATTGCTCTACTGCAGTAATGATTTCTAATACTATTTGCCACATTGATCCATGCAGTTGCTTACAATTGACCTAATCTCAACCATTGTTTTGGATTTGAAAATCTGACAAATCTTATTAGGGCCACTGATTTTCCATAATCAGATCAAAATAAGCAGATAAATCCAAGTTTTCTGAATGTGAATATCACAGAAACTTAACCCATTGAATAACGAGGTCTGAGGACATTTTTGTTAGTAAGCAGCCTTAGGCTGATTAACCCCAACCCTTACAGATCCTTCAAACTTTGCTGGGCCATTTTCAAAGATTGGAGGGTTTTTGGTGAGGAAGACCCACATTGCATTATATGTTGGATGCCCCTTGAAAGTATAAGTAAAGAATATGTGCCACTCAGGTTCCTTCACAGGATTTGGAGGATTCAACAGTGTTGCGTCTGGAGCAGGCTTTCATCTAGGACTGGAATATCTGCCTTTCTAACCAAGGTTAAAATAACTGCTTGCAGTCGAGTCGGTTTTTGAAACTGACACCCCTGGGTGCCATTTGAAGCCATAATTTCTGTTGCATCCAGTATTTTGGAAGGAAATGTGAAAATTTGTTCATGAGTATTACATACTGACATTTAAGTGAAAAATAGAGATTAGTAAATGTTGAACAAAAACTCCATGTAAAAAATTGGTTTTGCCTGTCTTCGGGACAGGTGGACAGGTGAAAAGATGAGACACTTTGTGGAGACAGCAACAAGGGCACATCATGACTATTAGTTTTGTACCACATAAGAAATTTTATGTGGTTTGTGTGAATGAAAAGCGAGTTAAAACTCTTGAGGAATAGAATATACATTCATGTGTTAGGAAACTAGTGTAGTATACCTCAGGTCATCACCACTTTTATTTACTTTTGCGTGGGAGAAATTGCAATTGTATGTACATGTACAGAGCAGTGTTTCTAGTTTCCTTGAGGAAAACAGCAAGGATTATCATTGAGGGCATTGAACGCATGAGTAAATTGAAAGAAGTGGACCATACAAGACCCCCATCTTGCCTGCATTTAAGCTCACACTGATTTTGTTAGTGGGTGGGTATATAGGTGAGAATTTTGAATGCCCGACATCTGGAACAGGCAAGAGTAGAAATTAGGACCCAGTGGGTGTCTCTTGCCCATGTTGATATCTGACTTTGTCAGTTATTCCATACATGTAAATATGTTTATGCACATAGAGGATGCGTGTATTATAATTTGCATGTACATTGTATGCATGATCTATTCCTAATTGTGACTGTTATGTCTTAAAACAGTTTTTTCTTGCAACCAGCGGCTTCAAAAAGAAAATCCTCCTGTAATTTTTTATTTTTTCCCCTGCAATTTATTTACTTACTTTTTTTTGGGGGGGGGGTAATATGCCATGATTAGTGGAGTCCACTTAAGCTGTATTAGCTTCGCATGTACACATATGCATTTTACAGATTCAGAAACATGGAGTAAAGATTACAGAAAAATGTTTAATTTCCTTTAACATATTTATCGTTTTTGTACAGCTTTCTGTGAAACATAGTCACCTTTAGTTCTTTCCAATACTTCCATTGGTTTCAATGAAAATGTTCATTTTACAAATAAAAGTTCTGTTCCTCTCATCAAATACATTGGGTACAACTTTGAGTGAATATTACTGAGTGAAAGTGGTTAAATTGCAGGAAAAAACACTACAATGGTGCAGTAACATACTCTCCTGGAAAAGGTTTTTATAACAGACTAATGCACATGTCCAAAGTTTGAGTCAGACAGACCTGATTTGAGTAACATATCCTGACATTTCTTTGTCCACTTTTCAATCCAGAATTAACTAGGATGTGCATCACTTTACTCATGTTTACTTACACGTAACTGTTCTACAGATCTTCAGTTTGTAGTAAAATCAGTTGTTTTCCCGAACTCTTTTTTTCATTTTGCTTAAAGGTGCACTTTGTCCTGGAATCACCAAAAATTTGTTTCAGAATGTTTACTTTGCATATTTCAAAGGTGTTGGTGAAAGAAAACCAACTTTGTGTCTTAGAATTCAGACAAATGATGAATGAAAAGTATTTGACACTGCAACTACATGTATTTTGGTGTATGCATATTGATGCTGTTTCCATCAGCCAATGCAACCCATCAAAATATGGGTATGGCCACCCTCACTATTAACTTGGACCAGTTGCAGTTTGTCTGGTTGTCTTCTCATCAGTATTCTGCTCCTTACTTTTTCAACCAGCACTTTCTCCTTTCTACTGTTGATTGGTGTGGTCTTGCTCTTTTGTTTATTCTTTGTCTTTGACTTGGAGTACTAGGAATTACCTTTGCTACCAATGTACCATAATGTACATGTTTAATTCAACAGTGTCAAAAAATGTGTTTCATTTGCACCATGGATGCTAAATACTAGACCGGTTTGGATCCAGGGCCAGTAAGCTTAGTAAATACACTGTCCCTTTCAGCTGTGGTGCTGTGTGACCTGGGTGACAGAGGTTTCTCATTTCCCCACTTGTAAGCACAATGGAAGAAAATCAGAACTGCAGTTGTTAAATACAGCTGTGCTAGGTGATTTTAGTGCATTCATTCAGTAAAGACCTGAAAGTAAGTGACAAGCAAACGTGTGTGGATTTGTTTCAAGGAAATGTGATTGAAGTTAAGAATATTGCTCTTAGAGATCAGTTTACAGGAATCAAAATTTTGACACTCAAGTTCCTTCCTTTGACAATCACAAAAACAGCACATTTTGAGGATGTGGTTTCGAAATTGTATTCTATTTTTAATTTATCCTTATGTGACCTAGTTTGAAACAGTCTCGAGCATGAGTAAGGATTTTCACACTTTACCTTGTAAATCTAACAAAGATTCTTTGAAGTGACATACACTATAACTGAAGAATCTTACTTTTAAACTTAAGTACATGAAACATACATTTTAGACTTTAGTTGGTAAAATGTAAAAGAATTCTTTGGTGCAGGCATGAAGTATCAGTGTGTGCAGTCTAGCCATGGATGATTCATGAAGGCACTTGACAGTACATGAACTCTGAACAAATCAATTTTATCAAGATGAATGGCAAAGAGTTGCTTTTCGTCTTAGCAATAATTTCCTCTATTATAGGCGTAGGAAATGATGGAACTTGATAATTTATAGGTCAAGCAGTCAGAGGTAATGACAATGAGTATTCACAGCCACACTGACCCCAGATACCCTGTTAAGAGTGTTACACTTAGCTGTGTTAATGCTTCAGTAGGAAATGATGTGGATTACAAGTAGACAGCCATGACAGTTGTGATGAAGTGACTTTGATATGAAAAGATCAATCTTTCTCAGCCTCAATTGAGGTAACTTACAAAATAAGTAGCGGTTTGTCTACATCTTGTTTTTAGTAAGACTTCCCAATTGATTGCAAGAACAATTCTGAACATACTGATTTAAATGGAAATGTTAATGGTTACCGTTGTTTTTGATGACCATTTGTTTCTTTGCAGATATACCCAACTGATCACACCAGTAGCAGTTTTCCTTCTAATCCATCAACACCTGTGGGCTCACCCCCTCCCATGTCAGGCAAGTAGACAAAAATACACAGTTACCGTTTTACTGTGGTATTATATTTTATCCAAAGTGGATACATCACCTCCTTTCAATTTTTCAACAAAGACCAGATCAGTGACTAAGAAAAATTTGGGTATTTGAAAAAGGAAATGAAATGTCGAAGTAGGGTGATCATGGTTGTCGGTGACCTGACCAGTAGAGTCCAAAATTGCAATGATGTGCTGACTTGTGATATTGTGAGGATAATCTGACTTGGCAGATCCAGGAACAAATTGCAGAAGCCAAGCCAGACTGGGGAAAAGAAGCAAACTAATTAGATTTCCTTTGGAAGGAAACGGAAAACGGAGATGCATAAAAACCAACAAGGGTGGGGTCTGTCAAGTTGGGATTGAGTAGAGTGCAGCCAGAGGGCATTGTATTCCAGCACAGACACTCTGTTTAATTGCTTCATGATTCCACCTACAAGATATGTCCTGTCTAGAAAAAGGTCATGGCCAAGTAGGCTCCAGAAAGACACTAATGTTACTAGTATACATATATGTTGTACAGTTGCCAAGTAATTGTCTGTCACTCCCATTTTACTTGGGGCAGGGATAAAACTTCCAAGGTTCCCCTCCATATGTCCACAGCTGTATGTATGTCGGATGCTCTTTCTTTCCACTAGGTGCATGTATGATGTACATGATGTACTGTCTAGTCATCCCATAGAGCTAAGATGATTGTACAAATTGTTGTAGATACATTATTGCAACTATAATTATAGGAAGAGGATTATTTTTGAAAGATTGGTCAGTTTATATCCCCTGTACGAGTATTTCCCTGCATGAAAAGTGAAAGAATATTGGGGGGGGATATAGCTTAATGCCAGACATCCATGTATTGCATTATGCCCTGTCTTGGTTAAGAAAAATTGCTTATTTTCTGGTTCTTTCATCTTTATGCTACAAATTGCTTATGACCAGCATTGCAGTATTGGTAATAGGGGTTGGGTTTGGAAATCAGTCGGAATAGACAACATAAGCTGTGTTCACATCCTACTTTCCCTGTCATGCCCTCATGGAAACTTACAATGATTCCCTGTTAAGATTCCTTTATGTTAAACTTCTGTGGACTTACATGTAGACTTTCCTCCTGTACTGTTTCTTCACAGGAGCAGAAATTTAACTGTCAGTGCATGAGAGCTGAATGTGCCTCAAAACCATATCTTTGCACACTAATACTTAATACTAATACTTAAACTAATATGCTGTTTGAGTGGTTACATTTTGCGATTAAAATTTCCTCTACTTTCTGGTTCGACTGGACAAATGCAGTCATATTTCTCATTGTTTCAATTAAATGCGCTATTATATTCATATGACAGAAGACAAAAACGCTAGGCACAAAAATGTGCCTAGCGAAATGTGCATGGTTGAAATGTGCATGAGCAGTTGCAATGTCTGTACATACATGTATGTGTTGGTATATGCACAAATGGGTCAAGAAATCATTATTCACACGTGCCATTTTACATTGCACTTGGGTAAGTTTTGTAGCATGGTACTGTTTCTATGGGATTAATCAGGTGTTCTGTAAAATCACTACAGCTCTGCAGAATGTTTGCCAACCCACTTTCAGCCTCTCAAAGTCCCATGATTACAATATGCATGTTGTAAAACTCACAGGGACATCAGTTCCTAGGCTTTTCATTTTCAGTTTTATCCCAAAAATACGCCTGCATGCAATACATGGAATTTGTATATTACATTTACCCTGGCCCAGCTACAGCTACGGTCAGTGGCAGAGGACATTTTGCAGTAGATGCAACCAGAGTCTCACACAAGCAAAGTTACAGGGTGCCCAATATTACTGCTTTGTCCACAAACTAGCCCCGATACAGTGGCATCAGACAATATCAGGGATGCTTCTCAATACCAGAGTGTGATTTTCAATCAGACAGTAAAAAAAACCCTTACCAACCCTGAACATAAGTTCTATAAAATACCCTTGGTTTTTAGCCCTTTCCTGATGGGGGGTGTGATATGGACATGAATGTAGCCTTGTGAGGATTTAAAAATGGGTGTTTCTTTTGGCTTCTAAATTCCTTGACATGCGGACAGAAAAACCAGACAAAGAGTCAGCAATTATACATGTTACATTACACATGTGCACGAATGCAAATGCAGACTCACTCTGTGAGCAAACATTCAAGATTCCCAAGGTCTCCCTTTCTGGCTCGTCTACTGGCAGATGCATGAAAGGTACTTGCTTTGATAAATTTCTGGACAGTTTTGTAACCGTTGAAACCTCTCAGCACTGAAGACATCTTGAATCCAAGAATCAAGATTGTTGAGTTTTGGAAGTTTTCTGAGTGCCCATTAAACTGCACTTTATTCACTTTACTTTAATCTTAAAAATTTTTTTAGAAATGCCTGAGTAATTTACTTTGGAACTTAGAGAATCATTATTCACACTACAAATTACCCCAGTCTGGATGTTGCTCTTTAATAAGAATAAAATGTTTTACAGGATTTTATAGATCCTTGGAAGCCGTTAGTTTGCTGTCTTTTCTCAGTCCTAAGTCCAAAATGCTAATTACAGGTGAAATAGTGTGAAATGGCCAATAAGTTGCTGCCATATGCAGTGGTGGTAGCAGGTGAGAGCTTTGGCCTGTTGTTATTCCCATGGGCCATGTGCAGTAGGCTGGTGGAACTACCAGCTGGCCCACATGTATCATTCACCACTGCCAACAGTTGCTGGCTTAAAGACTGGTGTACTGACAGACTGATCTGTCACCAGTATGTTTAAAGGGCTGGCAAATAGAAAGTTAATGGAGGTTCATGAATCAAAAAAACTGAAACCAAAATAGTTGTTAGAAATGGTACTGAATTGATGATGAATACATAAATATAGGTTTCAGACTATTTTTATGTTTCAACTAATTTCAAGACGTGGATTGAAAAATCTCCCTTAAAAGCCTCTAAGATTTGACTAAGAATACACCTTTCTGGTTATAAAACCAGCTGAACTGCTAAACATTGATAATGAATTAAATAGAAACCCTGGAGTATCTAAAGTTAATTCATTTGTAGACAGTTATTTTATATTAATCCTGATGAATCAATATATACCTCAAAAATTATTCATATGCAAAGCATAGCAGTCACACCAATATTTCGAAGACTCTTTCTTATCTAATAGCCCGTAACTGCGATGAGTTGTTAAGCTGCTAAATGTAGACTATATATGAATATATGTGTATGTTTTGCTAATCATCCGGGGAAATTTGTCCTTTGTCTTTTTTGGGTTTTTTTTGCTGTATGATTTCGATGATGATAGAAAAGATTTTGTAGTGATACAGCTTTTCCTTAGGTCACACTCATGCAGTGACAGATACTAATTACTGTTGAAGATTTGTCTGAAATAACAAGCATTGTGCCTTGTGTATGTGCAGTGTTTTAGGCCAGTTAGACAAATCTTTTGTCATTATTATCATTTCACTCTACAGTCCGTTGATGAGCGTTAGTTATCTCAACTTACAGTCAACCCAAAAGTCAGACTGGTTTTTTACACTCTATTGCAAATGTGACTTTATGGGATATGTCAACATTTTGATTCCCAAATGTAATTTTTTGTTCAAATACACACAAGATGTCAATGTACAAGCTGATAACACTTGATGTAAAAAAATATGGTTTGCCCCTTTATTCTCCAGGAAATAGGGGCCTATTGCATGAAACAGTTTCAACAAACAATGTAAAATGGAGTCTTTATTTGAATACATGTAGTTCAAAGATTTACATGATGAAACTGTAAAGAAAACAAAACATATTGGAGGAGTCTACTTGAAAGTGACATCAGTGACCATGGTCACATAACATTTTAGTCAGAATGAGTGTTTCCCAGAGGATCTTTAATCTGTGTAGTTGATCTGAACTCAACCTGGTCATGAATCATCATGAATCTTCTTTGTAAATAAGCTTTCTTTAGAATCAAAAACTGCACCTTGCAATTTTCCTGATTAGAAAATTACATGTTCATGTAGCTTCCCTAGTGGATCCTTTACTCATCAACTGTGGTCCTTGATGAGAGTTTTGAATAGTTTAATGCCCAGTAAAGTTCAGGACCAAAACTTTTTTGGAGTCTCAAAGAGAGATCTATACATGAAAAAAAAGTTTAAAAACAATTTGAAATTTAAAATATCAGATTTAAATTTTAAAATCTGTTTTACTTTTTAGTATTTTTTTTAAATCGTTATTTTTCACAACCCTGCTAGTGAGCCATGACATTGCTCTCATATTAATAGGATTCAGGTTTTTTTCTCTCATGTCCTAGTATTTCCTTCATTGTCAACATAGTCATTATACTTCTGGGGGTCTGCAGAGAACTTGAGTTTCATATTTTTTTCTGGGATGTTAAAAATATGCTTGATTACTTTTCCATTTATCACAGACGTGAAATACATTAAAATCATAAAATGTATGTAGGACATTCTGCCATTTTCAAAATAAACTTAACTTAAAAATTTGAAGTGAAGAATCTGTAAGTTCCAATTACTTTTTAAATTTATCAACCAGTTCACATGAGTCATTTAGTTCCTTAATGGAAATCCACATGCAGTGCTTTTGGAGAGAAATTAACAACCCAAGCTAATATCTCAATTCAATAATTTTAATCTTTTAAACTGAAGTAAACAGCTATTCTGTTCCTGAAACAGTAATAGTTCTTGACACACTTGTAGTCACTGTATGGTTATATGTACATGTACATTCTACCAAATCAATCTCAATTGAGTCAGCATTTACCATTGTTATTTGCCAGTCTTCAGGTGAAATCCTATTTGTCCTTTCATACTGTCTGGTGCAAATGTTCACTTATCTTCAGTCAAATCTGCCATGGGGATCTGTTTTGCAAAACTTGGTTGTTTGTGAATGTGATGCTGTACCTTTGACATTGATATAATAAAGTGATTGATTTATCCAGCATACACACCATCAGCATAGAATGTAAGATTTTGCCAACACCCTTGTAAC